CTTTTGCATATGACTAACCTGTTTGTCCATGTGGAGGCAGTGCTTATAATGCTGAGTTTCACCTGAAACTCATCAGACTGAAGAAGTCTCTTGGACGAGAGACGAAATGTTTCACTAAAGAAGAACCCATCCAGAGGACCTACTTATTTTTTCTTTTTGATTGTTTCTACCTGGATTACTGAGATGCATCAGGACTCTCTGATGACAACTTCAATTTCCGCATTGTGGAAATCATGAGCCTACATATCTAAGTCCTATTTTTATTTATTTTTTCACACCTGGGAAATATTTCCACGTAACCCCTGTAATATGCTTGTGTACCCCAAGGGGTACACATACCCCTGGTTGGGAATCATTACAGTACAGTACAGTACAGTACAGTACAGTACAGTACAGTACAGTACCTGTTGTTCTCTGAATGAGCAGATATTGAGGGCCACTGAGAACCTGCTCAGGTTTGGATGGAGTCTTTGTCCTGCTTTGATCATTGACTTTCAGTAGACAATGCTTTCATCTTGTCCATAATGATGGTGCATGGTTGTCTTGGATTTGACAGTTTGTATGTAGACCATTGTTTGTGCATCTATGTCCTGGTTAGGCTGCTCTACATTGTCTTTGTGGGGAAAATTATGTTAATATATTTGTGACTATTTTTATGTGTTCTGAGTATAAAAACAATATTCTAAAGTATTTTACAGCACATTTATGTGCTGTCAGTAAGTGTAGCACTGAACAAAACAGTCATGAATAAGGGAGATTTGAGGGATTTTTCTTATTTTATGTGTGATTTTGGATTTGTGCGTAGAGTTCTGAGAACATGAAGCATTCTTTAGGAAAATGTGTGCAAACAATCGAGGAAAGCGTGATGTATACTATAGTGGGAGGACTTGTCGGGACCGTGGGTTCTCTTTTGAGCATGGTACGTGAGAAAAAGACCGTCTACAGTAACAACAGTGAGATCCGACCTCTCACATCTTGTTAAAGTATAACCAGACTTGTCCTAATTACCCTAACATGCATGTTTATAATGAACATGGAGAACATGAAGACTCCAAGTAGAAAAGACAAGAGAACTTATCTTTGAACTGCATGAAAATCCGAACTGTTCATTTACTATATGTTAAATGTATGATGTAACATTGTTTCCATGATTCAAATGAATAAAATGTGAATTTTAAGGAAAAACAAAAGGTTCCAATTATAATTTTATCACTGTGCCGTGTTCTTTTTTTAATCTTCTTGATGTAAAAATAATCTGACAAGAACTTAAAGGATTTTGTGTTTTTATGTTTTGAGTCACAACCTGTTTGCTCCAACATAACCTGGGTCACATTACTGCTGACCACTCCTCTTTTTAGTTACTCATTACCTGCATTCATCAAATGATCACAGACCTTAAACCTGTAGAGCTGAAGGTGGCTGGTCTGGATTCTTAAAGGAACGCTTGTTTAATCATTAAAATGTATTAATGAGCATCAGGTACCTGCCTCTGTAGCCTTGGCTGGAGGTCAAAAGGAAAGGAAGAATAAAAGGAAGGAAAGGCAGGTAAACAATACAGAGGGTATAATAAGTATTGAACACGTCACCATTTTTCTCAGTAAATATATTACTAGAGGTGCTAATGACATGAAATTTTCACCAGATGTCGGTAACAACCCAAG